TCGAGAAAGCAGTCCGACTAAACCTCCGTCTAACGAAACTCTTATAGTGTACGGCGACAAACCTGGTGCGAGTCTTCGCATTATATCAAGTATTCAAGCACAGAAATATCTGCGCAAAGAATACCACGCATTCCTTGCTCACGTCGTCGACATGAACCTCGAAACGAAAGAACTCAAGAACATTCCCTGTAGTGAGCGACTTTCCCGACATTTTCCCAGAAGAACTACCTGGATTACCTCCGCAACGACAGGTCGAGTTCCGAATCGACTTAGTCCCAGGAGCTACCCCAGTAGCTAAGTCGCCCTACGATTAGCACCAGCAGAGATGCAGGAATTATCTGGTCAACTTAACGAACTGCTCAGCAAGGGCTTCATAAGACCAAGCTTCTCACCTTGGGGAGCACCGGTCTTGTTCGTTAAGAAAGAAAGACAGATCATTCCGTATGTGTATCGACTACAGAGAACTCAACAAACTGACGGTCAAAAATCGTTATCCTCTACCTCGCATAGACGATTTATTTGACCAACTGCAAGGGGCGAACTATTTTTTAAAAATTGATCTAAGATCCGGATATCACCAGTTACGAGTGCTAGAGGAGGATGTTCCAAAGACAGCCTTCCGAACTCGTTACGGACACTACGAGTTCGTGGTGATGCCATTCGGATTGACCAATGCGCCAGCAGTTTTCATGGACCTGATGAACAGAGTATGCCGACCTTACTTGGATCAGTTCGTCATCGTTTTCATTGACGACATCCTGATCTACTCCCGAAGTAAGGAGGAGCATGGCGATCACCTCCGACTAGTCTTAGGAACTTTACGAACGGAGAAACTTTATGCGAAGTTCTCGAAATGTGAATTTTGGATCCGAAGAGTCGAATTCTTAGGACACGTGGTAAGCGAAGAGGGAATCCACGTGGACCCATCCAAAATTAAAGCCATTGAGAACTGGTCAGCACCGAAGACGCCGACGGAAATTCGTCAATTTCTGGGTCTTGCTGGCTACTACCGCAGATTCATTCAAAACTTCTCCCGAATAGCGAAACCTTTTACGACCCTGACCCAGAAATGCGTGGCCTTTGACTGGGAAGAGAAACAAGAAGAGCGTTCCAAACGCTCAAACGAGCCTTGTGCACCGCGCCAATACTATCTCTCCCCGAAGGGATAGAAGACTTCGTAGTCTATTGCGATGCATCGAACCAAGGGCTCGGGTGTGTTCTGATGCAACGAGGTAAGGTCATCGCCTACGCCTCCCGACAGTTGAAGACACACGAAGTTAACTATACGACACATGATCTTGAACTGGGAGCAGTGGTGTTTGCTCTGAAGATCTGGAGACATTACTTGTATGGAACGAAGAGCACTATCTTTACCGACCACAAGAGTCTACAACACATATTCGATCAGAAGGAACTCAACATGAGACAACGACGGTGGGTCGAGCTACTCAGTGATTACGAATGCGATATTCGTTATCATCCGAGTAAAGCCAACGTAGTAGCGACGCCCTGAGTCGGAAGAATATTCTGGTCACAAGGTCAAGTCACTATCAATAACCATTCATTCACACTTGTCTAACCAAATTCAGGCGGCCCAACTTGAAGCCATGAAACCTGAAAATGTGACGGGTGAATCCCTTAGAGGAATGGACAAGAACTTAGAAGCCAAGGGTGACGGAGCCCTATACTTATTGGATCAGATCTGGACACCGAAACACGGTGGTTTCCGAGACTTAGTCATGACCGAGGCGCACAACACTCGGTATTCCGTCCACCCAGGTTCAGATAAGATGTATCTGGATCTTAAAAAGCTATACTGGTGGCCTAATATGAAAGCAGAGATTGCTACCTTCGTAAGTAAATGCCTTACTTACGCGAAGGTAAAGGTCGAGTACCAGAAGCCCTCTGGTTTACTGCAACAACCAGAGATCCCAGAATGGAATTGGGAGCGGATCACTATGGATTTCATAACCAAGTTGCCCAAGACAACGGGTGGACTTGATACCATATGGGTCATCGTTGATAGATTGACCAAGTCTGCACACTTCCTGCCTATCAAAGAAACCGACAAGATGGAGAAGCTTACGAGAACATACATTAGGGAAGTCGTACGATTACACGGTGTACCTATATCCATTATCTCCGATCGAGATAGTAGGTTCACCTCTAGATTTTGGCAATCATTGCAACATTCCTTAGGAACAAGGCTGGATATGAGCACGGCCTACCATCCACAGACTGACGGACAGAGTGAGAGAACAATCCAGACTTTAGAAGATATATTGCGTGCTTGTGTAATTGACTTTGGAAAAGCGTGGGATACTCATTTACCCCTCGTTGAATTTTCCTACAACAACAGTTATCACACGAGCATAAAGCAGCACCATTTGAAGCTCTCTACGGCCGAAAGTGCAGATCCCCTCTGTGCTGGGCTGAGGTGGGTGATACCCAATTAGCGAGAGGGCAAGCTTCCGACAGTACTCTCACTGGTCCGGAAATCATTCGAGAAACGACGAGAAGATCGTTCAAATTCGTGAACGATTGAAAGCCTCTAGAGACCGACAAACGAGCTACGCTGATAAACGCAGAAAACCTTTGGAATTTCAGGTGGGAGACCGAGTCCTTCTCAAAGTCTCACCCTGGAAAGGCTTGATACGCTTCGGTAAGCGTGGGAAGCTTAATCCTAGGTACATAGGGCCTTTTGAGATTCTCGCAAGAGTCGGCCCCGTAGCTTACAAACTTGATCTACCCGACACACTTCGTAACGTACATTCTACATTCCACGTATCTAACTTGAAAAAGTGTCTGTCCGACGAGACTCTCGTAATCCCACTCGACGAGATCGAGATCAACGAGAGCCTCAACTTCGTGGAAGAACCTGTAGAGATCATGGACCGTGAGGTCAAGCAGACGAAGCAAAGTCGTATCCCTATCGTGAAGGTTCGCTGGAACGCCAAGCGAGGACCCGAATTCACTTGGAACGCGAGGATCAGATGAAACTGAAACATCCTCATCTTTTCGCTTAGTTATTTGTAACTTCTTATTTGCTTAAATTCTAATTTCGGGACGAAATTCCTTCTAACGGGGGATGATGTGACAACCCGAAATTTTCATTTGTACGAACATCATCTATTCAATAGAAGCTAGTCCAATTCCTGTAAATTTCAGACTTGTCCGAACAAGTTTGTGTACATTAGGGTTTACGTTTCTGGACATATCCGGACGATGGATGCTCCTATGATCGTGAAACTTGAACACTGTAAGTTTCACAATGTTATAGTCCGACTTCCAGAATAAAAATATTTTCTGTCAAAATATTTCTGGACTATAAATAGTTTTCTGAACTAAATTAGTTCATTATTCACAATTCCAACTAGAGAAAAGCCAATTCTCTCTGACGGATCTTCGGGTTTTCATCCCGGATTGTGAGTCTACTTTCCTAAACGTGTTTTAATACTTGTTATATGCTTTATAACATCATTTGTATGTCCAAAATACAAGATCCGTGAGTTTACCGCCCAAGAACGTTCGTGGGGAGTAAACTCCAAAACGAACTTTAATGCTTTCTAGACCCAACCACGTGTTAGAGGACTTATCAAGGACATTGTGTATGATCTTTATAGCTTAGAAATCATCCAAGAAACACAAGTTCTAGGAGTTTACGGCCAAGAACTCCCTTGGGCCGTAAACCCCTTTTCAAGGGCTTAAATGCCCTAAAACTTCCCCAAATGCTTAAGGACTTGAACTACTAGTACTTGTGCTTGCTTTAGACATGAAAACACTTCTAAATGAATGAGTTTTAGGAGTTTACGGCCAAGAAAAGATCTTGGGCCGTAAACCCCTTTTCCTTGGGTTAAACATGCCCCAAACACCCCTAAGGCCTTAAGACATTTTAGCTTGAACACATGGGACTTGAAAGGGGATCAAAAGACTTCATAATCACTCCTTCAAAGGAGTTTACGGCCAAGGAACATATCTTGGGCCGTAAACTCCAAGTTAAAGCACCAAAGTGTGCTTCTTGTCCCCATAAGCCTTAGATAAATTCATGGAAGCCATCCTTGATGTTTAAGTGCCTCAAATCAATTTA